AATGTGTGTCTGTGTGTGTGTGTGTGTGTGTGTGTGTTAGAGTGAGTCTCAGACCGTTGAGTTGGTGATATCTGGCTGTGCTGTTGGGCTCGCGTGTTGCTTCGGCTCCCCCGCTGGAGGTGAGTACATAAGTGGTGCAACTATCAAATATATTGGGAATCAAGGACATTGGGAAATCCTGTACTGTGCAGAAGTCAGAGACCATCCTTCATTTATTTAATTTCCAGTTAAATCATTTTCATTTCTCAGCATAAAACATAAATTGAAAATTGCACCAAAACCACAACACATTCAGTGGTGTTGAGGTCTGGACTCTGGGGTGGTCAGTCCATTGTTCAGCTTCTTTGTTTGATGTGTCCGTCTCCTTTTCTCAGTGAGGTTCTTCTTGAACAGCTACACATCCTTTCAGACCCACAGCGCTGAGTCGTCTTCTCACAGTGGAAGGATGGACAGAAACCCCTGTGGATGTTTTCAGATCTGAAACAGCTTGATTTTCTCCTCTCTCTCAGAGATGAAAGCTTTAAGTGCTGTTTATCTGATGGGGACAGTTTTGTTGGTCTACCAGGTCTTCCAGGTGGTTGTTAGGAGTCTCATTTTCTCTTTTGGACATTTTGGAAGCGTCTGTTTTTTTGTTCTAACACAGGTTTAACAATAAATGTTCTTAAACACTGGAGTTAATGTATAACTGCTAATTCACCCTTTTACCCTGAAGATCAGCGCGCAGGCTCCTGGTTACCATAGCAATGCAGACAACAATGTCGCCTAGGTAGTAGCTAACGAAACAGCAAAGAGAAAGATTTAAGACCAACATCGATGATTTGGAGACGAATGGACTTATTTGTGTTTTTAATCACTCCAGCTGGTTTCCTGATACGTTTAATCTGCAACCAGAAACTGACAAACACTAAAAAATAGCTGAAGTCAGTTTCTCGTTCACCAGCTTCTCGTTTGTTTTGTCCCGTTCCACCTTAAATGGTGCAGCAGTTACATTCTGGCACGTCAGGCACCATTTAAGGGGGAACGGGAAAATTCGAACAAGAAGCTGGCGAATACGAAGCGACTTCAGCCTCATAAAAAAATCAAACATTAAGAGACATTTTACAAGAAACTGTTCTACTTTCATGGAAACGTTTCCTGCTGGAGATGCGAGAAAAGCAGCTATAACTGAACTAAAACTTAAAGCAGAGCAAAGTGAGTCTGTTTTTGTTTATATTATATTTTTTAGCCTATATTAACACCTACTGAGACATATTTACGGCCAAGATGGCAAAATGGACATAAAATGTTGTGGCTCCCAAAGTGGTATGAATTTTGTTGAAAGGGCAAAATGGCTCTTCTTAACATTTGGGTTGCGACCACTGTCCTAGTGGATAATCTAATACCTGATCTCCTCAGAAACGTCTCCTTAAAAATGAATAACTTGTACTTAATGGCTGTTTTGACTGGAGATTATATAAACGAAAGGTGGTGTCTGGCTTTTGCACAGCTCTGTATATCACTGATGAAATGATTGTGTATGAATATATGCATGTATATATGTGTGTTTGTTTCAGGTGTACTGTACAGTGTAGAAGTAGCCTCAACCTTCTTCATGGTCAGGAACTACTGGAAAGGATTCTTTGCTGCTTCCATCAGCGCCTTCGTGTTCAGATTTCTGCCAGTGTGCAGTGGAAGTTTTGGTATGGCCAGTAATTTAAAGGCTATTTGGGAAGCTAGTTTTAAAGCTGCATTGGGCAGCACTGATAACACTTTATAACAACAGGCTCTGATACACAGCAACTTAATTATTATGTAATTGTTTTTTTAATGACTGTATATAATAGTATATAAAACCTCATATCTCTGAAACGTTAACTTACAGGAGAAGGAAAAAATATTCTTAACTTTGAATGGAAGTTAATGGAACTTTTTTCCAAGCACTTTTGGATCATTTCTTTTGGTCCGTTCATCATGAAATTTCGGAACATCGTAAAGGTCAGCTAGCATTTTCAAATTCTGTAAAAAAAGCACCATTCATTTCATATATGCATAATCAGTGATTACTTTGGATTACAGAAAACTAATAATGTATTATAATTTGTTATTAATAATTGAGTTATTTTATACATATAACTCTCACAAATACACACATTATCTAAGCTGCTTATCCTCTTGGGTCACCGGGGGATGCTGGAGCCTATCCCAAAGCTCATTGGGCGGAAGGCTACCTATAACTCAAATTATATAATTTTAGTTATATACAGCACAATTTTAAGCAGAATGCTTAGTTAATATATATTTCTTTCAACATTAATAATCATTAACTGGAACCTTTGTGTAAAATTGTGATTGAACTTTATAATATATAAAGTGATTCATTCCAAAATGCTGTTTATCTGTTTGTAACATTATTGAATGTAGCAAGCCTTTGAAAACAATAATAACTGACGTATATTATTATCAAAACATGTTTTTATTTCTCTAATAGAGGACGTATTAATCATAATATAGCATTGATCATTTTTATATGCGTAAAGACCCTCATGAAAAAAGCTATAATCATAAAAAAGCAAATTCTTGAAAGTGGCCTATGCAATAAAACCCTTAATTTATAAACATAAATCATGTTATTTATTACTTTTATTTATATTATACATTTTTGAAAAGCATTTATAATATAACTTTGTACTATAATAATAACCGGAGCTGTCCGTTTCCTTTACAGAAACCATCACACCTCTCTTTAAGACGTGGTTTCGCCAGGACCATCCCTATGAGCTTATGGAGCTCCTGTCCTTCTGTGTCCTGGGGTATGTTCTATGTGTGCATGCTTGGGGGCGGAGAGGAGGGGTACACAACAATTTTCACATATCAATAAAATGTTGGGACAAAGAATATGTGACACACAAATAGAAAATAAAAACAAACAAACAGCAGTGATTTGTGAATCTACTTTGACCTGTACTTAACAGTAAAACAAGACATTTAATATTCTACCTGTTCAACTTCAGTTTTTTTTTTTTTTTCATGGAATCTATAGAAATCTTTGTGCGTAAAGGCCAAGACGGAGAAAAATAAATGAATGACTGTAATCTTCAACTGTTTTTAAAAACTGACATGCTTTTACAAAAAAATCTCCTCGCATGGCCTCAGGAATAATTTGACAAACTGTTGTCAACAAAAAAAACGTATCCACAAATGAAAGTTATACATCAACAACGTCCAGAAACACCGCTGACTTCTCTGGGCTCTGCACAGTGGAAACATGTATTGTGATCTGATGAGTCAACCTTTAAGATTATTTAAGGAAGTAAAGTTGAAAGGACGGCATCTGTGATGGTCTGGGGGTATTCGTGGGTAACTTGCCTGTGAAAGCACCATTAACTCCTTAAAATCTCAGGCTCGTTACATACTAAGGCTCATTATTCAGCAACTATAGGGACTTCAATGCAAATTGCCTGAGCTAATTTTCCTATTTTAGGTTATAGAAGTGTGTAATGGCCAGCCGATGGGCCCTGGCCATTCAAGAGGTTAACGCTGACATATTTTTATTATTTAGAATTTCATATAGTGGCCCAACTTTTTTAGTTGTGGAGGTTTGTATTACATTTGATTTAGCTGGTCCTGTTCCTATAGTGTGAGATTAACTTTCGTTTTCATTATCTGTGCTGTTTGTAGCTCATTTTGCTTTAAAATAAACACTATTTCTCTCATGAATGCTCCCTCTCTCTTTCTCAGTATACTGAGTGGTCTTGCTGGAGCATTATTTGTCTTCATCAATGGTGTGATGGTGCGCTTCATTAGGAGCCAAAGACCCATCAGTCAGTTCCTCGTCAAGACGTGAGTTACGCAATGTTGCGTTTTTCTACACGCTCTACGGAGGTTTTGGCTTCATGCAAGTGAATGTGTATGTAATATAAATCATCAGTGTGCAGAATCTTGTGTGTGTGTGTGTTTGTGTAGGCGTGTGCTGTATCCTGCTTTGGTCACTCTTGTGATTGCCACTCTGACCTTCCCCCCTGGATTTGGACAGTTCATGGCAGGGGAGGTAACACCTCAATTTAGCAATTTAATTTTAACATATTGACTATACGCTAGTAATTTATTTCATACCAAAATAAAAATTCTGGAACAAAAACAAAATTCAGGACACATTAGGCTGAACACTTTAAATTAAAACTAAAAATGTAAATTATACATAGTTTGCTGTTTTATATATACTTTAGAAAAAACATAATAAAGCTAATAATGCTTTAAAGGCGATAATCCCTTTGTTCAAAAGAGAACTGAGAGAATTCATTTATTTTTAAACAGCTTACCAATTAATATTAAATATTAAAAGTTGAATTCCACAGCACCTCCGCTACAACAACAGAAAACACCTTGTTTCTTTAATATGCAAAGCATGCGTCTAGCATCCTGTCTAGCAGTTTGAGGTTTCTCCAACAGGGGGTGCTATTAAGATGCTTTAGTGTCCGTCATGTATAGAGAAGAAACGGCCAACTTCAGCAGGATCTGACCGATGTGCATGTTTGCATCTTTCAAAACTAGAAATAAAGAAGTTTATTATGAAAAGACTTTGAGTTACTCAGTATTATTTTAATCAGTCCTTCTCATCCTGGTCCTCAGGGCCCCCCAGACACGTTTTTCCGTCATCCTTAAGTGTTATGAGTTAGGTGGGATCAAAAATGTGAACCATCTGATGACCAGTTTGGGTACCACTGATTTCCATCCAAGAGTATCATTAAATCAGTTCATGTACAAAAGCATGTAAGTTAAATAGTGTATAGAACGCAGCAGCAGAGGACTTTCACTGTTGATCTACTGCAGTTCTAACTGTTTGAACACATCTGCGCTGACAAGCGAAGGAAACAGCTTTGTAACCAGAGCCTGAGCACCTTGACCTGGACTAATCACATTCTGAGTCATCTTCTCTTTATCTCCTCTGCTTTTCAGCTTCCCTTCACTCCAGCACCTTAGACAATATAATGGTGCAGTAATAACCCAGAAGTTGTTAGGGGGGGCCTCTGCTGGCCACAGGGCCCTAAGCAGGTGCTTACATCACTTATTAGGTAGAGCTGGAACTGATTGTGTTATGGAGGAAGACCCACCTACTAGGTGGGAATAAACTATGATTAAATTGGAGGAAAAACAACTTAAAAAAAAAAAAATTGTGCTGTTAAGCAAATTCTTATGTTGCCAGGTGGCCATAAACTATTGTTAACAAACTACATTCTGGAGAATTGATTATTGTTAGTGTAAAACATAGTTGATTAAAAATAATCCTGAACTCTGAAAATGAACTTGCTGACTTCTTGTCCATAGCTGACTCAGAAGGAGACCCTGTATGCCCTTTTTGACAACTACACATGGTCCAAGCACCTTCAGGAGGAGCATTTTGACCCGTCCGACCACTCGGTGGCCTGGAAGCACCCGCACGTCAACGTCTTCGGCACCCTCGCCATCTCCTTCATCATGAAGGTCAGCATGCTGCCTCGCTCCTCACAGCTACCAACAGCTTCACTTGTCTTCTCACAGTGGAAGGATGGACAGAAACACCTGTGGATGTTTTCAGATCTGAAGCAGCTTGATTTTCTCCTCTCTCTCAGAGATGAAAGCTTTAAGTGCTGTTTATCTGATGGGGGCAGTTTTGGGGTCTACCAGGTGTTCCAGGTGGTTGTTAGGAGTCATGTTTTCTCTGTAGCTTTCGGTCAGTGGACGTAAAGCTGTTATTTGTTTCTTTCCCAGTTCTTCATGTCGGCCGTGGCCATTTCTATGCCTGTACCGTGTGGAGCTTTTGTACCAGCCTTCGTGATCGGTAAGTGGGGATATGTGTTTGTGTGTGTGTGTGTGTGTGTGTGTGTGTGTGTGAGGGAGAGAGAGAGAGAGAGAGAGAGAGAGAGAGAGATATGTGTTTAAATATGTGTTTATGTGATCAGGGGCTTACCTTGGGAGGCTGGTAGGTGAAGTGGCGGCTGTTGTGCTACCTGAAGGAATTCATCACAATGGCACTATCTTCACTCCAGTACCAGGAAGCTATGCTGTAGCAGGTACAAACATGCACACAGCACTTCGATGTACATCTGGGTAGTCAGTTTTTATTACACTTTCTTATAAAAATGACCCATCTTAGACGAAAAAATGAATACATGACAACATATTTGTTCCCTGTATGCTATTTACATGCATACATGGGAATGATCTCAACCCTCTACTGCATGAATTAATACTCAAACATGATAAAATGTTTTAATGTGTTTTTGTTATTTGAAATTGCTTAAATAATGGAAGTCTTTGAAAAAAAAAATATTGATTTCTAAAAACTGAGTGAGTTATTTGGTAAATTGTTGCCATTTGGCAACAATGCGCAATCGTACCATAGCACCATAAAATCTAAAAAAAAAAAAGCACCTTAAAATGTAATTTCTTTTCTAAAAACATCCTTTTATCCTTTTATTGAAAACAAGAACAAACAAATCCAACTTACACTTAGTGAAATCTATGACCCAGTATTTACAAATATTAGAATTCAATGCAGTTTCAATTGGTATTTGGAATGTATGGTAATAACAACATCATAATAAAATTTCCTGGTCATGCGATGTCATGAAGTATTTGTCCTTTCAAAGTAAAAGACCCTTTTTCCACAATTAAATAAGAAAACACATTTTATATGACTGCTTTTTAGTAAAATTAAGATAAAGTAATTGTTGCCATATGGCAACACCGTGCAGTAAAGGGTTAACATATACTTAAATTTGTTCATAGAGTTATATGCATTTTTTAAAACCCTGGTGTCACAATCAAATTGCATGTTTTGTTGAAGTGAATATGAGTCAGCACACCCCCTACAGGGAAAAACCTTCCAGTGCGCCGTGTCTATTTACATAAAACACAACATTTGTTTACATAAAACACAACAGTGCTGTAAGTTGGAGGAGGATGAGGAGGAGTTCATTCATTTTCTCTTAGAAAATCAACAAAACATGTAATTTGACCAAAACCTTTGAATACAGCTCAATATATCGTATGTTTACACAGCCAGACATATTTTTGTGAGCTTATGCCTTATGGTCATTTGCAACATGATCACAAAAATAGCGCCCATAATGTGAAAGTACACCTACCGGCCACTTTATAGAGGCTAGCTTCTTGTATCTACACTCATCGTCCATTTTATCAGCTCCACTTACCATATAGGTGATCAAAGGATGTGATATTTGGCTGGATCGTTTTGGTTTGTGGACTATTCTCAGTTCAGCAGTGACACTGAGAAAAACTTTACTGTGTTGAACTTTATCCACTTGTACCAGTGCAACACACACTAACACACCACCACCACCACATCAGTGTCACTGCAGTGCTGAGAATTATCCACCACCTGCTCTATGGGGGTCCTGACCACTGAAGAACAGGGTGACAAAGTATCAGAGAAACAGATGGACTACAGTCTGTAACTGTAGAACTACAAAGTGCACCTATATAGTAAGTGGAGCTGATAAAATGGACAATGAGTGTAGAAACAAGGAGGTGGTCATAATGTTACTTGAACAGTCAAGTATAAGCTAGAGGGCCATTTCTTTTCCAAAAATGCTGACCTTTTTCCACTTTTATTGATAGTTTTTGGCCGTATCTATCAACATAATCACTGAAATCCGTCTGTTCGTTTCATGTGTGCATGTACAGGTGCAGCTGCGATGTCCGGGGCAGCCACTCACACTGTATCCACGGCGTTGATAGTGTTTGAGTTGACCGGTCAGATCAACTACATTTTCCCTTTAATCTTATCGGTTATAGTGGCTAACATTGTGGCCCAAACCCTCCAGCCATCGCTATACGATTGCCTCATCCGCATCCGAAAACTGCCTTATCCAACAGAGCTCACCTGGGGCCACCATGAGTGAGTGAACCTCATCCATTTCTGTCTTGTTTCTGTCAACATTTCAACTCATCTTCATGATGAGGGACGAGTGATTTATGGACTAATATGGTAATTACTTACTGCTTAGTACTTATTAATTAACTTGCATTCACTTTATATGGCCAAAGGTTTGTGGACACCTGACCATCACACCTATATGAGTTTGTTGGATATCCCATTCCAAAACCATGGGCATAAATATGGAGTTGGACCCCCCTTTGCAGCTATAACAGCCTCCACTCTTCTGCGAAGCCTGTCTACAAGATTCCGGAGTGTGTCTGTGGGAATTTCTGCACATTCAGTCAAAAGAGCATTTGTGAGGTCAGACACTGATGTAGGACGAGAGGGCCTGGCTCACAATCAACGTTCCAGTTCATCCTAAAGGTGTTCAGTGGGGTTGAGGTCAGGACTCTGTGTAGGCCACTGGAGCTCTCCCACACCAAATTGGTCAAACCATGCCTTTATGGACCTCGCTTGAGTGGAGTCTGTTATAGCGGCAAAGGGGGACAACTCCATATTAATGCCCATGGTTGTGGAACGGGATATCCACCAAGCTCATATAGGTGTGATGGTCAGGTGTCCACATACTTTTGGCCACATAATGTACACACTATGGGTTACTTGTTCATGAACATGCAATAGGTGTCCATCCTTCGTAACAATATTCTCTCTCTGTAGGGGGCCTAGTATTCAGGTGGAGGATTTCATGGTGAAAGATGTGAAGTATATCACGTTAACCTCTACGTACAAGGACCTCCACAAAATCTTGTTCGCAAGACAGTTCAAATCTCTCCCACTGGTGAAGTCTGCAGGTACCTCCACATACACGTTCATACACAATACAAGCACTATTCAAAAGCAGTGATGTATACGTCTTGATTGTCTACCTGAATGTCACAAATTCAATGCCTCTGTTTTCGGACAGAGTCGATGATCTTGCTGGGCTCTATTGAGTGCGTTCAGTTGCGGGCTCTGCTGTCCCAGCACCTCAGCCGTGCACGGCGGCTGGAGTACCTCCGCGACTGCGCTCAGAACGAGAGGAAGCACACGAGTACACCCACCAGTGAGGACGGAAACCAAAAGGACATCCAAGAGGTCAGGACTGAGACAAGAGACTGTACCAGTTAGTAGGGATGCACATTATGGCTGAAATATTATTCACTGGTAAATGGGAAAATTCATTGGAATTACACCAGTCAGGCATAACATTATGACCACCTCCTTGTTTCTACACTCACTGTCCATTTTATCAGCTCCACTTACTATATAGGTGCACTTTGTAGTTCTACAGTTACAGACTGTAGTCCATCTGTTTCTCTGATACTTTGTTAGCCCCCTTTTACCCTGTTCTTCAGTAGTCGGGACCCCCATGGACCCTCACAGAGCAGGTACTATTTGGGTGGTGGATCATTCTCAGCACTGCAGTAACACTGACGTGGTGGTGGTGTGTTAGTGTGTGTTGCGCTGGTCTGAGTGGATCAGACACAGCAGTACTGCTGGAGTTTTTAAACACCTCAGTGTCACTGCTGGACTGAGAATAGTCCACCAACCAAAAATATCCAGCCAACAGTGTCCTGTGGGCAGCGTCCTGTGACCACTGATGAAGGACTAGAGGATGACCAACACAAACTGTGCAGCAGCAGATGAGCTATCGTCTCTGACTTTACATCTACAAGGTCCGACAAGGTAGGAGTGTCTAATAGAGTGGACAGTGAGTGGACACAGTGTTTAAAAACTCCAGCAGCACTGCTGTGTCTGATCCACTCGCACCAGCACAACACGCACTAACACACCACCACCACCACATGCAGAGAAACAGATGGACTACAGTCTGTAACTGTAGAACTACAAAGTGCACCTATATAGTAAGTGGAGCTGATAAAATGGACAATGAGCATAGAAACAAGGAGGTGGTCATAATGTTATGCCTGATCAGTGTATTGCCATGTGCAATTAACCAGTTATCCATCTTTAGATCTTTATGCTCAGTGCACTTCATCTATAGATTACAGTGTCATCTATGGATTCCAGTGAGGGGAAGTATCAGGCACCATCTTGAGCTAAACAAAAGGGCCAATTTTGGAGAAAGGAAGAATGCATTAAAGCAGGGGTCTCAAACTCAAAATGACCTTAGGGGCAGCTAGCTAGGTAGTCCTACAAAGCAGAACTACTACTGTTGCCACTAATAATAATGATCATCATAATAATAACTACAAGTATAAGTTTTAGTAGGAGTAGAGTATATAGTGTTTAAAGTGTCATTTAAATGTAAAATTATATTGGACTCTTATTGTGATAGCGCTGGCATTTTTGCTTAACACAAGTGAAGTCATTGTGAGTGAAGTGCTGGAAAAACTTGGCTGTCTTAATTGATCTGTCTTATGATTTAATTGATTTCATTGATTCTTACATGCAGTATCTACCGATCAGTCATGAATTAATCCATGAGGGCAGATTTAAGGGAAGGGAAGGTCAGTAGTTTGAGACCCCTGCTTTCGAGAATGAAACTAACATTTACTAACAGTGTTTGTGTGTTCCAGGTCTCTGCAGGTGGATTTAGTACTACACACTCATTCTCCTCTGCACCAGTCAAAAGACCACCTGTGAGAGGTACAAAGACAACTTTTAAACTATGAGTACCACTCAGCACACATACACATTGTGTTGTACTATAGACTTACGTTGGTACAACAAAACAGACGCCCTGATACTAATGAGCAAACTTAACAGAGTTGTTGTGAGTCATTTCTTGTTTTATCAGCCAGAGGTCTTCAAACTGGACCTTGAATCCTGTTTATAGCCTTGGATTTGTAATCGCTGGAGATTTGACACTATTTGGCCAATCAGTCACATCAACAGTGCAGCTGATTCAACTATCAGTGATGCCAAAACCCAGAAACTAGCTTCAAGGTCCAAATTCTAGACTGTTCTAGATATCAACAATTATACTCCACAGCAAATTTCAGCATTTTACATATTACACATAACTGAGGCCTTGTCCATGCTTATCTGGCTATGTTACCTCAGTTCCACAATAGTGCTTTTCAAAATATCTCCGTCCACACAAAAATGCAAAAATGTCTCAAGAACATTTACATGATCATGCTAGCCCAGTAGAAGGCTATAATGCCTCATAGGCGTATAGAGCATGGCACAAAGCTGAATTTTCTAGCAAAGTGACAGTGCAGAGATACAAAAACAGTAGACTTTTCTCACAGGCAGTCAGACTTCCGTAATTTGATATTTCCCATAGATTAGTCCAAATTCTGCCAGAAAATAAAAGCTTAAAAAAGAGAGTTTTTCTAGATTTTCACTCCAATTGAATACACTTCAATGATTTTTTTAAAACCTGTCTTCGGTCATCATCAACATCACATATCTTTAGAATCATAGTTTTTTAATATTTCCAAAGGAGTTTGCACCCCATTTAAAAGAAGTGAGTGTAGTAGATTCTGAGAGCTCCAAACTGCGGTTTAATGAAAAAGTAAAGCTAAATTCTGTTGTAAATGTTATCACCCACAATTTGCAGGGCACACAGATGTAATTTGTATTTCAGACAGAGTTCTGCATGCTCAGTAAATGAAAACAGAAACAGGCATTTTTCAACATTGTCAAAAAAGTTGCGTTTTGTCTGTCTACATGGCGTATAGAAACTACATATTGCATGCACACACACAAAACAATCGCTCATAGTTGAGCATGATTGTCCAGGTGGATCCCTAGACGGCCGCAGAGGCAGATCCGGGATCCACGGCGTCCACTGCAGAGTGGACATGGTTACGTGGCAGAGGTGGCTGGTGCTTGGGTCTTCTTTTTTGGTAAGCCTTTCCTTCAATCATTGCTTGTTACTCCTGGAGCTTTCAAATGGCCTGCTAGGGTCCATCCTTTGCAATAGGGACTTTGGGATACTGTAAGGCAGCAGTGCCCAACCCTGATCCTGGAGATCTGATGTTTTTAAGCTGAATCTGGAATCTATAGACAGACGTTGGTTAACTGGACAATTACGTGTTATGACATTTTCACACTAATACTTAAGACTGCAATGAGAACTCATTTCGGGAAAGTTATCATTGAAGGTTGGTTTTTACACTGGAGGATTCCTTTTGGTACAATAGTGTATTTCTATCCATCGCTACATCACTTAAACCGTGGTTATTGTTGGGTCCATGCAAGAAGAATTGGATTCGTTCATGCTCCATTGTATGTTTATAGAAATAAAATTGCTCTTTGGGCCCTTTATTGAATAAAAAATAAGAAAAACGTGTTGAACCAGATACCCAGGTTTCAGACACGGTGTGGACCATAACTTGAGTTTGCTTGAAGCAAATACCAGCATATTTTTTTCCAAAAAAGCTGTGTTTTCTGGACCAGACCTGGATTTAAAAACATTTTTTAGGGGCTCCCGAGTGGTGCAACTTTCTAAGCATTGGCCCTATAATGTCAGGAGATCATAGCTCTGATCCCCTGGGCTGGCATAGCCATCAGTGGCTGAGAGTCCAAGAAATCGTAATTGGCCTCGCTGGGTGACCTGGGTAGGTACAATGGTCCTGCCTCTACCTCTTATTCTTAATGGAGGCATCTGTTAGCTGTCAAAATTGGCTGTTAATGTTCTCTTTCACATGTTGAGCTGCCCAGTGACTTGTCCAGTAACATTCCCAGCTTGGTAGCATCATGGGATTGAGGAAATCTCCAAACAGTGCTGGACTAAGGCCCTCGAGAACTAGAGCTGGACACCTGGTCAATAGAAACGAGAGACAAGGTTATGCAGTCAGATCTACTACTTGCAGAGGGAAGGCATGTTTCACAAGCCAGCCATTTTCAGGGTCCTTAAGGAAGGATATGCAGCCTTCACCCTCCCAGCTCGGTAGCATCATGTGAAGAGAAGACCTAGAAGGTGGACTTGGCAGTGACTACATTGAGGGGAAAATCAAAAAGAATAAAGTTTGACCAACACACGAACTCTCGGTGCAACTGGTTTTAGGTCCAGAAGTAGGAAAGCACCCTTAGATCAGGGTAGAAGGGTAGTAGATCTCCAGGAGCAGGGTAGGACAGACCTTCAATAGGGGCACTACTGAACTTGGTATTAATAGAGCCTTTCTTTGACCTTTTGACATGGTTTAGAAAATTGTTGTTGGGTGTCCTAGCAGGCATCTGAACAGCTGTTGGTTGATGGTGATGGCAGCTTTGCAGCTAATGTAGTTTCCTAAGCTGTGGGGTGGCTCTTCATCAGTGCTAGCCACAGTAATATGGCATGGAAAAACTAGTTATTAAACCTCTGACTTTCATGCTTAGGTTTCCAAGATTCAGACATTACCTTGAAGAGTCTTCTCTGTTCCCATTCTATCGTGGAAGGACTAGAGGTACGAGACTCTTTTCCTACTAGAAAGGAAGTCAAATTTACACTCAAATTTACCTCAATCCTACAGTATTACTCATGTCTTAGACCAGTACTTTTCCGCTGTGAAAGTCCATGAATGTCTTTCTTTCTAGGATGATGCTGATGTGGAAGATACCATGACTAAAAAAGAGGTGACAACACCACACACTTTGTATTATACCCACTCTGTAAAGCACAGACTTCAGTACACTGTTTAATGTCAGCGGTGTCTATAGTGGTATGCAGTAGTCAATGGCAAAATCGGAAATATTAACTTCTTCTTCATACATAAATACCACTGTGACGGGATCACCTGTTCTCAGCTTGTTACCTTCGAATCCTTGTCTTGCATGGCCTTTCCAGATATTGCCTATAGTAGGGGTGTTCACTTCTTACCCTGGAGGGCCAGCACATCTGCTGAACCTGGTAACCAGCTGCTGAGTTGTTCAGCATAGAAGTCTTTAAACTTTGCTGGACTAAGTTGGACACTGCTAACCTAGAATAACAGAGACATGGTTATCCACTGGAGGGCTGGGCGGTTATAGGGTACCCCAAAATAAGGGTCTAAAATGAACAGGGGACATACATAGTATGTAATTTGTAAACAGGTAATTATTTCTATACAGAAAAATGCACTTATTTTCTGAAACAGTACTCTGTAGAGAAATTTCTTTGGGAACTGTTTTACTCTAGAACATGGGTGATCAATCCTGGTCCTGGAGATCTACCACCCTGGAAAGCTCAGATCCAACACACCAGGCTCTTATATCCAGATCCTCCTGAAGGGTTTCATTATTTGGATCAGGTGTGTTTGATTAGAAGTGGAACTAAGCTGTGTGGGGTGGTAAATCTCCAGGACCAGGACTGGGCACCCCTGCTGTAGAACATCCTGCATGTACCCCTCCACGATCAAAAACCTTCTCAAAGCTACCGTAAAATAACCTCTCAGACATCAGACAGCTTATTTGTAACCATTTCATGTTACTTTATGTGAGGGAGCTTTTAGACGCTTTAAACTCTCCAGACGTCTGGTTCCCATCACCACCATTGTGAACAATTCTCTGTAAATAGGATATCTTTGCACAACTCCAAGGTGGCAGGGACTTCTTGGTACTACAGCGAGAAGAACAAGAGTCTAGTAGTTAAATTTTGAAAAAAGTTTATTTGTTGTGTCTATTCCTGTCTCTGGATGCAGATTCTGGAGTGGGAGGAGCAGCAGCTGGAGGACAAGGTCAACTTTAACGACTGCAAGATTGACCCTGCCTCCATCCAGCTACTGGAACGTACCTCGTTGCAAAAGGTGTGTGCTCTAGGGATGGGCATTTTTACCGTTTTTGCTGTTTGACTATTCATGTTTTTGTAAACAAACATTATTCTACGGAGCCCCACTGGTGACATCCAATATAAATAAAAATAATGAGTGGCCACGTCTTATTAAAGCGTGGAAACAAGATCCTGATGCGTGGCAATGACTTGGGAATGAGATCATGCCTTACTAAGTTGTAGCCATACATTAGGATCTTTTTTCCATGCCTTAGTAAGCTGTGGCCACACATTAGGACCTCATTCCCATGCCTTACTAAGTCAGTGTGGCTACCAATGCTATCAAGAATATTGTTGTGAATAAAAAGTGAAAATATAGAAGATTTAACCATTGTTTGTTGTGTGCAGACAACATAATAGGTACTAGTGTAGTATAACAGTGTACTATCTTAGTAATTTCCATATATAGCTGCACTCCACATCACCTATCACATGCTTGTGTGGCTGGATTCTACATCACACTCATTTAAAAATTGCAATTTCTATTCATAGTCACATGCAAACCTTTGGTCAAAATACATTTTAATGCTATTTGTGTGCAAATTTTGGTGCACAGTTTCTATTTATTTGCCAAGACATATTGGGGGAAAAACGTTTATATATGCATACACCTATATACAAATATATATGTACATCTTCTTGTATCTACACTCATTATCCAATCCATTATCCACTTACCATACATCTGAATTAACATCTTCACTACTTGTAGGAATATTGGTGCACTACTTATAATTATCTGCATTCAAAACAGCTGGAATATGCCTTAACATCCCTTCTGTCTCTGCTTCTTCAGGTCCACAGTATCCTTACTCTGATGAGTCTGGATCAATTGTATGTCACCAGCGTTGGGAAACTCATAGGAGTCGTGTCACGTCGTGAGGTAAGGATTTGAGGGCCAAGTGGTATTTTGATAGAGTCAAGAAAGTAAATGGAAAGAACCTACAATTCAAACTGAGGAATACTACAGGATGATAAATCTACCCTCCAATGAAACAAGATGCAACCTTCCAAACAGTTCTTGTCTGAGTTTCCCAAAAACATCTCTAAATATTTTAATAGGTAATAAGAAGCTGATATACCTGACTGAAGTCATGTACCACGAACATTTTTAGTCAATATCAGACAATGTATATAAAAAAGGATGGAGCCATGTAGACCTTGTTCAACAGGTCCAAGGAACCAACTTACTGAACAAATAGTTGCACATGGATATTACCTGTTCATACAGACCCAATTCTCAGAAGTTGGCACAATATCCGAAATAAAACAAGCAGTGATTTTTTCGATTCTGTTTGACCTGTGTTACATTGAAAATGGTACAAAAACAGGATATTTGATGTTTTACGTTTTTAACTTGTTTTTTGTAAATATATGCCTGTTCCAAATTTTATACCTGCAACACGTCCCAGAAAAGTTGGATCATGAGCATTTTTACCACTGTGTTACATCCTGTTTCCTTTTAACAGTGCTTAATAAATGTTGGGGAGCTGAAGAAATCAACTGATCCAGTTCTGAAAGTGAATTTTGTGCAGTTTTACTTACAAGTCTTTAGCTGGGCAACCATACAAGGCCTTTGTTGTCATATTTTATAAGGCAGCACTTGTTTTCTGAAGGAGTCAGGAAGGCCAGTCTAGCACCTACACTCTGATTATGCACCCATGCTGTCGTAACACGTGCAGACTGTTTCTTGCCATTATGTTAAAATAAGCAGGGACATCCCTAAAAACACAGAACCTAAAAGGCGTATGTTGCTCCAAAATGCTTATATATCTTTGTGTTAATGGTGCTTTCACAGATGTGCAAGTTATCCACTAATACCCGTCAATGCCCTAACAAAAGCTTTTAAACTTTGTTAGTAACAATGAACTCATCGTCCATTATTTCCATAAAAGTTTGACACGTTGAACCACAGTACATGTAAATGAGCCTGAGCCCAGAGAAGTTGGCGGTGTTTCTGGATATTGTTAACGCAAGGCTTACACTGTGCATAGTACAGTCCTAACCTGCATTTGTGAAAGACGAAGTGTTTACTGGCAACGGTTTGTCAAAGTAATCCCGAACCCATGTGGTGATATCTGTCCCAGAAGCACATCGATTTTTGCTGCAGTGCTGTCTAAGGGGTCAACGGTCACAGGCATTCAGTGTGGCTTTTGTGTATACACACATATATACACCCAATTTTTAAGCAAGGTTTTGCTGACCCATATTTCCTGGCCACTTACAAACCCCTATTTTTGTAGCTCCACCTGCTGATGCACAGGTTGTATTAACCACCCTCTAGCACTGCATCAATGGTCAGTTTCTGACCACAGAACTGCTTTTGACTGGACGTTTTTGGGTGGCGGTCCACTCTCAAACCTAGCAGTAATGCTGACGTGTATAAAAACTGGTCAACAGCAGTCCTTCGGTCAGACACTGATGAATTGTGCAGCAACAGATGAGCTACGTCCTGTAACATACTGCACCTCTAAGGTGGGCAGAACTCAAAAAGTCTTTATAATAATGTGGACGGTGAACATACAACCAGTTACCAAGGCAACCAGTCTGATTTCACTCTGTTGTGTTGTAGCTGCGGAAGGCGTTCGAGGGCTCTGTGAAGATACGGGGGCCCATAACGCACCCACCCATGTCAACCTTCAGAGAGAGCAAGACCAGATGCAGGAACACGAACACCCCCGAGGCCACGGAGCTCCACAGCCTCCTGGGCAGCGAGAGCAGCCTGGACCAGCCCGCAGAGTCCGAGGAGAAGTGATGGATGGAGGGAGGGAGGCGTACTCTTGGGTCTGACCTGATCCCCTCCCAGAGTTTTAAAGAGGGATGGAAAGGAGGGATGAAGTAATAGATGGGGAAATAGTAGCTTCGTTTAATGTATTGTTTTTTTTTTTTACCTTGAAAAATCCTTAGTCATCACCCACCGCATGTGAAGTTACCATCATCTGTGCTTAGTATTCTGATTTGCATCAGCGTCTCTTTACACTGTTCAACTGATTTGATGTTGAGGACATTTTTCCTCCCTATGAAGTGATCATTTTTTACGCACAAGTGACGATAAAGGAATAAATAAAGGCATAAATAAATAATGTATTAGCAGCTACAATAAACCTTAAACTGAACTAGTTCACCCATCAGAAAGATCTCTGTCCTTTTCTTACAAGTTTTCTTACCATCACACACAATAAGACTTATAAATCTAAGATTAAAAACTTATCTAGCTGGACTCACAATGAATACCACAAAAAAGACCAACAAAGTTCACCATTAATTAATTAATAATAATAATAATAAAAAACCACTTAAATTTTTTTTTTTTTTAAAGCTTCTAATTCATTTTTCTAATTTGACCCTTCAAACCTTCACAGCAGTCCAAGCTGAAGCCGAGCTGCTCAACAGAATCCATGATTGTAGTCGTCTTATTTAAATACCACTTCAAAAATGTCTTAAAGCAGTGGTCACCAACATGACACCAACTCCAGCAGCACTGCTGTGTCTGATCCACTCGTACCAGCACAACACACACTAAATGGTGCGTCCAAACTCACTGTCCACTATATTAGACTCACCCACCTTGTAGATGTAAAGTCAGAGACGATAGCTCATCTGCTGCTGCACAGTTTGTGTTGGTCATCCTCTGGTCCTTCATCAGTGGTCACAGGACGCTGCCCACAGGACGCTGTTGGCTGGATATTTTTGGTTGGTGGACGATTCTCGGTCCAGCGGTGACACTGAGGTGTTTAAAAACTCCAGCAGCACTGCTGTGTCTGATCCACTCAGACCAGCACAACACACTCTAACACACCACCACCACGTCAGTGTAACTGCAGTGCTGAGAATGACCCACCACCCAAATAGTACCTGCTCTGTGAGTCCATGGGGGTCCTGACCACTGAAGAACAGGGTAAAAGGGGGCTAAAAACGTATGCAGAGAAACAGATGGACTACAGTCTGTAACTGTAGAATTAAACGGTCAGTAGAGCTGATAAAATGGACAAAGAGTGTAGAAACAAGGCAATAGCACTTGATGAAGTGGCTGGTCAGTGTATGTGTACAGCTCCACTCATGCAGCAATAAAAAAGACAGGACTAATTACTGTGTTAATCATTTGACAGCCCTAGCAAGACATAACACAGTGGTGTGGCTCAAGATTCTGACTCATTTTGTAAAAGAGAGAAAGACAGAAAGAGACAAGGACAGAAAGTCTCCGCATCGGGGACAACTGGACAAATCTACTCACGCCACCCTCATTTGCAGCTTTTTTCTTTTTTTTCTTTTTTTAATTGCAATATTCTTTATTACTTTTTCCAGTTTCTGATGTGAAAAGAGCAGTTAATTTCTCTCAATTAAATATTTAATAAAGCCAAAACATATTTACAAAAAGTCGTAATGAATAAACTTTAGGAGGATAATTACACAGAGCCGGGGCAGCTAAACCACGGAGAGCCAACAGAATATAAATACAGAGAACTGAGAGAAGAAAAAGAAAAGGAGGGGAAAAAAAAAAAGTCATTAAAGTTAGCATTTTTATTTTTGAAAAATAAACAAAGGAAAAAGAAAAAAAAAAAATCTCTAAATATTTATTTACAGGACTCTCCTGAAATGCATTTCCACCTCAGGTAGCAGAAAAGGCCTTTAGGATTCGTACTGTCTTTTTTTTGTCGTAATACTTTTAATACTTCTGTCATTTCTTAAAGTTGATCTCTAAATAATTTTTCAAGTTTTAGTATCGACTTTTATTCATAAATGCTCTACAGACAGAGGTGTGAAAGTAAACCCCCTCTTCGCTTTTCTTTTATCTGAAGTGGAGGAAGGTAAAACCGGACAGGTGAGGGGTGACGAGGGCGTAACCCCGCCCCCCAGCAGCAGCAAAAAAAGTCAAAGTCCACGCCCTCCTCTTCCTCGGAGCCAAGAGGAAGCGGTTAATTCCCCCGTTTGAAATGTCCAATCGAGGCTCTGGAACGGGCGACGCATTCTGCCTCTTTTTCTGTCACGTTATTTATTAAAAAAAAAACAAAAACAAGAAAACAACTCCACTTCATTCACCCTAATACTTGCAAAAAAGAAAGAAAAAAACGGGGTTAATTGCAAAAAACCAAACAGCCACTGCTCCCCCGCCAAAGCATTGTTTTGTACCACACACCATCCATACAGCACATGATAAAGTGTCCAAACCCGACGCTTGTAGTTTCTCAAAAAATATAGAACTCTGAGCAGCTTTTCCGGAATCGGAGCTCTCTACTGTCGTGGCGACGTCGTAAACGAGTCAGTTTTCTCCGTTTGGCGACATCCAGGAGTTCGACAACATCGGAAAACGGCGCTCCTCCACGTCGGCGGGAGAAGAAACTGGAAGTAGCAAATTGAACGGCAAAAAAACGGAACAAAGTCTCTTCGCGGGACCTAAGGCTTCGTATCCTCTCTCAAACTGAAATTTTTAGAAATCAACAAATCAGTTCAAAAAGACATTCGGTAGCGAAAAAACAACGGAAAAAAAGAAAAAAAAAAGACTGATCAGCCCAAAGCGGAATCCTTCCCTGGAAGTTTTCGTCTTTTTGCTTCTTTAAAATTTATTTTTAATTCCAGGAGGATTCTCTCATCAGCTGAAATCCAAAGGTTGTGTCTTCTGGTGGGCGGAGCCAGAGCTCTAGCTGTTGTCCGATTCGTCCTCGGCCTCCCGGAGCCAGGTGAAGAAGGCGGTGACGGATTTGAGAGCGACGCCCTTGCCCAGCTGCTCGGCCGGGTCTTTGCTGGACTCCCACTTGTAGAAGCCCTCCTCCTTAATCACGTCTTCATCGTACAGAACGTCGAAGAACATCCGCAACAGATCTGCAGAGTCGAGAAGAAACAAACGTTTAGAATCAGCGCTGCAAAAAACGATTACTCGTGTGAACTGATCAACATATAATCAATTAATCGGCCCAAATGCAGTTTTTTTTTATTTTTTTTAATATGATTACTGTTTATTCTCATATTTGAATATAACATATTGGAAACGTCATGTGACCTGTGCAAAACGTACAGCATATAAATATTGTGCACTAAATTTGCAGAAAAACACCAGATTTAAGGTTGTTCGTTACGGCAGCCCTACAGGGCCCAGGATTCACATGCTTTTTTACTGTTTTCCCATGATAATGAGCTTTCACTTGTTTTCTTGAGATCTATGGCACAACGAATATTGTTTTCTCAAGATCTCGACTTATTTAGGCCACTACCACGACATTAATGTTATTTCAATAAAAACATTCGGTAACACTTTCTATGAATGTCACCTTTGTAAGCATCTATAAACGCATTCATAACATGTTATAATGCATTCATAAGGCATTATAAACATGGCTATAAATATTTATAAAAATGCACTATACGTTATAGCCATGCTTATTATGCATTATGAATTGTTAACATAATACATTATAAGTACTGATCATAACAAATTATAAGAGCTCATAAGTCGTATTTGTCTGCTCTAAGTAAAGTGAAGCGTACTGTACTAAAGCCTCCTCCAGTGTTCAGAGTGAGGCTTCAAGTTGAAGTATTTACTGAAGGATTTACTGAAACACTAAAACATTCACAGTAAAGCTCATTACAGGCTTCAAATGTCAGAGTTTAAACTAGAGCTGCCATCAGTGTTTTACCCAATGAGGGAAAGGTAATGTTCACCACCGTTAGCTTGGTATTTGTCTTTACTTTACGCTCTCCAAGCTGGGACTGACTTCTTTGGCACTGACAGTATAACATGTTATTAACACTATTTATAATGCATTATATTCACACTTCATAATGTATAATAAACATGGCTATAAAGTGTAATTCAGTGTAATTCTTTTTTATAAATATTTATAACCATGTTTATAATGCCTTATGAATACATTATAACATGTTATAAATGTGTTTATAGATGCTTACAAAGGTGACATTCATAGAAAGTGTTACCAAACATTCTGCTGTGATAATGATATAAATAACTCGAGATCTCAAGAAAATAAAAACAACTACAAAAAAAAATCTACGGTCCTGTAGGACTTTCAAACTTATTTTCACTTGGAAAATCGAGTTGAGCCGGGGCGCACAAATCTTTGCAAACTGTTTGCAGTGGTTACCCAAAAAACAGGGCTATATTAATAATTTTGTAAATTAATGTTTTATGTAAAATGAACTGCCGTTACATTTTAACGTGCTAGTCCTCTTTTTTTTTTCATCTTTCCTAATTTTCTTTCTAATTTAGTCGTTTCCAATTCTACCCGCTAGTTAGGACTCCCCCAATCACACGATACTATCAACGCTAGGAGGTCGAAGGCTAACACAGGCTTCCTCCGAGACCTGTGAAGCGCCACCGCTTCTTTACGAACTGCCGCTCACGCAACGTCACTGGACAGCTGAACGCGCTCGGAAGAAAGCGCCAACCGCCAGATCTGTTACGTCAGCTAACAGATACTGAGTGATGGGGGGAGACGGGGCCATCCTACCCACCCAGAGAATAAAACCTATTATCCTCTCTTGGACCTCCAATCATGGACGGCTGTAGCATCACCAGGGATCAAACTCGCGATCTCCTGATGTTGATAGGGCCAAAGCTTAGACGGTGTAACACCCAGTTTAACGGTTTAAAAAATATGCCTTACCATCCAAAACAATGTCATTTTTCATTTAGACATTTTGGATCTTATAAAACAACTAAAAGTTGTAACTTGTAATGGCTGCAATACCAGCAGAGGGCAGATCTGAGCAATGTTTGTTTATTTGTCTATATTCTTCAATACTCCCTCTGCAAACATTTAAACCGCCACTTTCGTGAATTCTTTACTCTTCACAGGTGAGGATAAAGTCATCAAAACCCTGTTACATCACCGATAAGTGCACCAGCACATATGCTCATGTGTTTCCACAGGTACACCCGTGTTAC